ATCCAACTTTTTGATTGTCGGTTCAATTAAACCATAAGGAATTTTTTGGGTTTGCACAGATATGTGCAAAAAGGAGAATGATTGTAATGTTTTTGGACAACTTTTGATTTTTTGACGCTATACAAAACTTGATAATTGATGGTTTCTAACAAGCTTATTGCAATATATAAACAAATATTTAGTATAAACAAATATGAAATATGTTGATCTATCTTGCACTTCAATTGACTTTTACCACAAATAACTTTGTAACATCATCCACTGGTTATTTGAAAAATATTGGTTACCTGAATTACACAGATCTTCCAAAAACTGACACCTTTCATTACCACATTTGTTAACATCACTGGAGTTCTCATTGGATTATCTGAGTATTGGGAAACAGTCACATTCATGGTGGCAGACATATGTTTTCAAAAATTCTATTTTCTTGAGAGCTTGAAACTTGTCATTGCAACAAATATTCTCAGTTTTTTTCCTTGAAATGAGATTCACTTTACTAATTTTTGAGGAAATGTCTGTCAAAGCCTGCCTGAATAATTATGTTTGTTAGCTGTGTTTTTAAGTAAAAATTGTGTTTCACTAAGAAGTTTACCATGTTTGCACCTTAACAACTGTGTTTTTATCAGAGGAGGTCATCATACTTAAGGATACAGCACAAATGATTTATGCATATTTTCCATTTTGTCATAATGATTATTGAAAAAGTATGTATGGAAGGGTCGAGATTTAAATAAATTAATAGTATTACTACTTCATGAAGAATATTCTCATGTGAAACTCAGTATTTATTTCATTAAACTATTAGTATATGGCAATAAAAATTCAGTGATTATTGGACTACTGGACTACTGATATAATGGTGCTGCTACCTTGTTTCATGTTAAGGTAAAAACAGATTTACTATCATTGCTTTTGCAACATCAATCTGCATGTTAACTCAGTAAAAAAAAGAAAATAACGTATTACTTTTATTATGAAACAGTGTTGACCTCATTGATACCCTCAATGGGTCTTAAGGGCTGCCCAGGATCCAAAAGCTATATTTTGAGAACTAAGTCAATAAACAAGTAGATAAGAGGCAAATGTATCAATGTGACACAAATTTCTCTAATTCATTGATGTATGCTAATAAAAAGACTTCTTATCAACATCATCAAAAACAGGGTTTATCAACCACCCACAGCATTATTCCCCAGACACTGCTGCAATCAAGACATCTTTCATTTGGATGGATGTTGTTGAAATGGGTACGATGGTTGGAACTATTAAGTTTCTGTTCACTCTATTTGGGTCTGCTGATGTAGGTAAAGAGAGAAATCAAAAGGTTGTTGGCTTTCATCAAGTCATCCAATCAGAGTGTTTACTAAAGAAGATGCAGGATGTGACCAGGGCTTAATCTTTGTGTTATAACTTCCTCTTCTGCCTAACGATGGGCCTGACACTTACATATAAAGATTCATGTACATGACCACAATTCTCACAGCTGTGTGACCCTGAAACTGAAACAGACAGTGGCATATTCGGGATAACTGATTGCACAGACTATGAGAATATTAGATAATACTACAAGGAATACTCCAGGAAATTAACCCAAGGGACATCATATCCTCCTGGTTACCAGTCACATAATGACTTTTCCTTCATGTGAGAATTTGTAGAGAACATTAACACACATAGGCAATTGGCTGTAAATAATGTATGCTGAAGACTACTGCAAAGAACACCTGCCTATATAATACTTTTAAGAATTTCACATTTCTTTAAAGAGTATGTGTCTGCTTATAAAATTCATAGGTTTAATAGACATCTTTATGTGTAAGTCTGAGTAAATCTGAATATTTTTTGAATATTGATCTTGGAAAAATATACATCCAATTTCAGCAAATCTTAAAATAGTTTTGAACTAAGGATAGGACACCTCACATAAGGATGTAGCAAGCATGGGCAGCACAAGGAGAATTATTTAGTCCCCTTTCTCTTTTGTTCTTTATACTGTCTCACTACACAGCAAATGCATTCTAGAAAGTAGTAACTGGGAGATACAGGTAACTTAGGAGAAGAAAAAGCAATTGTCATAATAAAAAATAGTAAAATCCTCCAACGTGTGTAACAGCCTTTTCTGGGTAGTCATTCCTACATGAAGAAATTATTTAAAGAGTTTATATGTAAATCTGGCAGTATCTGAAAGGTAGTAGTCTCACACAGAGTATAACCTTTCCTTTTGTGGTCACCTTCTTTCAAGGAACCAATAATCTGAAATGTGAAACAAAGGATGTTAATTTTAACTTATGTATTTCAGGGTATGGAACACTGAGAAAAAACTAAACATGTAGAAGATATGTCTAAAACATGTTGGTGCAAAAGTAATTGCGGCTTTTGCCATTGAAAGTAATGTGAAACTCATTGTTTTTGGAGTGGTCATTAAAAATAACGGCAAAAACTGCAACTATCTTCTGCACCACCCTAATAAAAACTTCTACATTAATATAGAATTTCAATGATCACTTCACCAGATTTTGTTCCATTAATGTTATTACACAAAAACGGCTTTAAAACGTATGTATGGGAGATTTAGAAGAACTATTCCATAAGTGATTCTTTTCTAACTTAAGAAGTAAAAAATCCTTCCACTTCCCATTCACCCATGGTAAAGTGAAGTTTTCAATTGTTTCCCACAGGTGACAGAAGAAAAAAATTTCAGGTGCTAAAAAGCTACTTTTAAAAAATTAATCTCTGACCATATAATTAAATGCTAGAATGTCATTCTAATTTGTCATATTTTTTATTTAGATGTCAGGTTATTGATGTTTTCTAACAACTTTATTGAGTCATACAATACAAACCATAAAATGCATCCATTTTAAGTGTAAAATTAAGTATTTTTCATCAATTTTGAGTTGTAGAGCAATCATCACAATCCAGTTTTAGAACATTTCCATAAATGCAAAAAAAATCCTGTGTTCATTTGCAAACAATCCCCATTTCTGCTATTATCAACTAATTGTGGTCAGTACATTTTATCTCTAAAATTCTCTTTCTAGACTATTTGTACACACAAGATCCTATATAGTTGCATATTTTCCATGAATTCTTTAACTTAGCATAATGTTTTTGAGGCTTACCCATGGTTAAACATGAACCAGTTGTTCGTTCCTTTTGGTTGCTGAACAGCTTTCCATTATATACATATACTACATTTTATTTGGACATTCACCAGTTGATGGACATTTAATTTCTTTTCCAAATTTTGTCTATTATAAATAATGCTGCTATGAACATTCACATCTAAGTTCTTTTACGGACATATTTTTATTTTGAGTAGATATCTAGGGATAGAATCACTAGATTAATGTACATTTCACTTTTTAAAGAAACTGCTAAAGTTTCCCAAAGTAGCTGCATCATTTTACATTAATTTCAGCATGGTAGAAAGGTTCCAGTTTTCTACATTTTCACCACTTGTTATCGTATTTTTATTACAGCAATTTTAGTGGGTGTAAAATGACACCTCACTGTGGTTTAACTTGGCATTTCTCATATGATTATCTTTTTGTGTGTTTATTAGACATTTGTATCTTTTGTTTAAATGTCCATTCAAATATTGTTAGTGACTGAAAGTTGGCAATAAAGCACAGGACCTTGTTAAATTCAGCTTTTAAAACCTCTTGATGGTCAGCCTCTCAAGCTTTTCCTGAGAACAAATGCTACTTTGCTCTTCAGTAAGATAAGTGAAACTTTTTGACTTTATGATAACGTACACTCTCCTTTGCCTACAATAATTAGGAAGAGAAACTGCTTTCTGATTGCCATAATCCTCCACAGGATTCTCACTTTCTTCTGGGCCTGATTACAATTTGTAGACAAAAAGTTATGTATTTACTGCCATAAGTGAAACAGAATAGCACACAGAGTTCAACAGTACATGGTGTGTCATTTTTTTTTTTTGCATTTTAGATTTTGGGGTACATGTGAAGAACATGCATGATTGTTGCACAGGTACACACATGGCAGCGTGATTTGCTGCCTTCCTCCCCTTCACCTACATCTGGCATTTCTCCCCATGCTATCTTTCCCTAACTCCCCACCCTCTGCTGTCCCTCCCCTATTTCCCCCCAACAGACCCCAGTGTGTGATGCTCCCCTCCCTGTGTCCATGTGTTCTCATTGTTCAACACCTGCCTATGAGTGAGAACATGCGGTGTTTGATTTTCTGTTCTTGTGTCAGTTTGCTGAGAATGATGGTTTCCAGGTTCATCCATGTCCCTACAAAGGACACAAACTCATCGTTTTTGATGGATGCATAATATTCCATGGTGTATATCTGCTACATTTTCCCTATCCAGTCTATCATTGATAGGCATTTGGGTTGGTTCCAAGTCTTTGCTATTGTAAACAGTGCTGCAATGAACATTTGTGTGCATGTGTCCTTATAGTAGAATGATTTACAATCCTTTGGATATATACCCAGTAATGGGATTGCTGGGTCAAATGGAATTTTTATTTCTAGGTCCTTGAGGAATCGCCACACTTCCACAATGGTTGAACTAATTTACACTCCCACCAACAGTGTAAAAGTGTTCCTATTTCTCCACATCCTCCCCAGCATCTGCTGTCCAGATTTTTTAATGATCGCCATTCTAACTGTCATGAGATGGTATCTCAATGTAGTTTTGATTTGCATTTCTCTAATGACCAGTGATGAGCATTTTTTCACATGTTTGTTGGCCTCATATATGTCTTCTTTTGTAATGTGTCTGTTCATATCCTTTGCCCACTTTTGAATGGGCTTGTTTGTTTTTCTCTGGCAAATCTGTTTTAGTTCTTTGTAAATTCTGGATATCAGCCCTTTGTCATATGGGTAGACTGCAAAAATGTTTTCCCATTCTGTTGGTTGCTGATTCACTCTAATGACTGTTTCTTTTGCCATGCAGAAGCTGTGGAGTTTGATTAGGTCCCATTTGTCTATTTTGGCTTAAAGACTTAAACATAAGACCTAACACCATAAAAACCCTAGAAGAAAATCTAGGCAAAACCATTCAGGACATAGGCATAGGCAAGGACTTCATGACCAAAAGCATTGGCAACAAAAGCCATGGTGTGTCTTATATTGATCATTCCTTGGCGTTGTAAAATCTGCATTGAGATTTTTTATGCTTAACCTCTCATCTTGATGTGCTTCTCTGCCTAACTAAGCCCATGGTATCTATAAGACTTGGATACACAAACTTGAGTATCTGAACCTGTTTATTCCTGACTCTTTGCTGTCTAAATTTCTGCACAATGCTTTTATTCTGATTATGCCTTAAATAAGGACACATTAACATGCAACTTCATTCTTTTTACATATTCATGATGCCTGTAACTACGTATTTCTTAGAAATGTTAACTTGTTGTCTGCAAAAGGAGTTTGTATAATTTGGAGACAATTTTTAGTTAATATTTCCAATTTTATCCTCCTGCTGTGGATACTATGATACATGTATATTAAATGTTGGAGCTTCTGCCCTGCTGTGTTACCAACATCTATGTAGTAGAGTACAGTTTTATGACTCACTTTCTACTATCAGAAATAACTGCTACTGGACCTGGTCTGTCACCACAAATACCTGCAAAACTGGGAAATACATGAACTGTCTCCAGACATTGGATAATAGGTGTCACAAGACTACAATCACTGAGAGAAAGTAAACAAAATAGGTTAGCCACATGGTTATACTGGTTTTCTGTGTGAATGCATGCTCCTGACTAGCCAAAGGAAGCCCAAGAGTGGTGTCACTAGCTGAGAAGAAAAAAGATGGGAATTTGAGGCTACCGAGCTAGCTGAAATTTTCAGAGCAGTGTACAAGAGAGAATATATGTGTGTGAAGAAGTAGTTTAAGAAATCTGCATGAATCGCCTTCAGTCTTTGGCTGAATACCAAGTGGAACATGTGTAAGCTGGCACTCCCAAAGGCTAGAGAATGACTGCTAGAGGAAGCGCAACTACTAGGAAGTCATGAGCTGAACAACTGTTTCAGCTTGCACAGAACAGATGTTTTAATTCTAATTAGCCAGCTATTATTTACGACAATAGGTAGCAGAGAAGCTACATTTTAGTGGTAGGTCTACTGAAGCCCTCAAGTAAAGATTTCTCTATTAAGGAAAACAACAAAATCCAAATAATCAAGATGATATTTGTAATGCTCAATATAAAGTAAAAAAATTAAAAACATGCAAAAAGCAGTTAATGAGACCCATAACCAGGAGAAACATTAATCATTACTAAAAATGACGGATCTGTCAGAATTAGCAGATGTCCTATAACAGCTATTAAAAATTAGTTCAAGTTTTTTAGGCAACACCTAATCATAAGAACAAAACAATTATGGAATCTCAATAGAGAAATGGAGATTATAACAAAAAAACTGGAAAAATATGAAACTGAAAAACCATAATATCTAAAACAAACACTGAAGAATCTTTACACTAAATTAAAAACTATAGAGGAAAAGAACAATGAATCAGGAGTAAAAAAGTAGAAACTATACAAACTGAAGCAAAGAAAGACAAAATGCTGAAAAAAATTAGAACCAATCTCACTGACCTATATGATAATATTCAAAGATCAATTATATGTGTAATTGGGGTACCAGAAGAAAATAAAGTTGTGTTAGAAAAAAAAAATTTTGACGAGACATTAGGTATTGGCTGAATATATTCTTAGGCTCATGACATATACAAAGGTACAGATCTGAGCAACTCAGACAACTCCAGGGACAAACATCAATAAAAAACATGCCAAGGAGTATCATAATTAAATTATAACAATAATAATAAAATTATAACATTAACAATAATTATACTGATACATACAGGAGGAATCCTAGTAGCAAGTTTTCATCATTTGTCAGGGTTTTACTATGCTGTTTAGAACCTGTTTATCTTTGCAATGCTCTTATCTCAATTTTTCCCCTCTTTTATGTAAATTTAAATTTATAATGTCACCTTTTTCAGTAGTCCCAAGAATCGAGCCTTAATGTCTCTTCCTAGTTTATCCTAGTACATGTAGAAAAGGTCCTGTATTTCCTTCAGGATGTAACTACGTTTTTGCAGGTCAACTCAATTCCAATGGGGTTGATTATGATCTTTAAATTTTTTATTATTAAGGTGTAATGCAAATGAAATCATTCCAACATTCTTGATCTAAAAAATTCTGTAACTTTTGACAAACACATTATTATGGGCTAAAGTGTGGTTCTCCCAAATTTATACAATTAAGACTTTACTTCCAGTACCTCAGAATATTTGGAGATAGTTCCTTCATAGAGGTGAGTAAATTAAACTGAGGAAGTTAGCATGTGCCCCAATCCAATCTAATTTGTGTGCTTATACAAAGAGAAAATTTGAGCACAAAGAGAGACATCCAGGAACTGGGTCACAGAGGAAAGGCCAAGCAAAGACAGGGAGAAGATGGTCCTGGACAAGCCAAGAAGATAAGTCTCAGAAAAAAACACACCTGTAAACATTTAGTTTTTTGCTCCTATAGTTTTGCCTTTCTCAAACATTCTTATAAGTGAAATAATACAGCATGCGGCCTTTTGAGTCTGGCTTCTTTCATTTAGCATACTACATCAAAGATTCATCTATATTACTTTGTATATCAACAGTTTGTTTAATTGCTGTGATTATTTCATTACATACAAGTGAGTTGTTTACAGTTTTGTGGTTATGAAAAAAAGTCACTAAAATCTTTATGGTTAGTCTTTAGATTTTTGTGTAAACTTGTGTAAACTTGTTTCATTTACTTGGATAAATATTCAGGAGTTGGGTATCTGGTCATGTGGTAACTATATATTGAACTTTATAAGAAAGTGACAAGCTGACTTCAAAATAGGCTGTACCAGTTTGCATTCTCACCAGCAAAATACATTCTTTTCAGCTTGTATAAATATTTATTTATTTATTTTATTGTAACACTCTTAATAGATGTGTAGTAGTATGTCATTGCAATTTTAATTTGCACTTAGGTAATGACTAATGATATTAAACATATTTTCATGTGTTTACTTGCCATATATATTTATTTTTACCTTGATGAAATGTCTGCTAAAATATTTTGCTTCTTTTAAATTTGTTTTTCTTATTTAAACTTTAATGAGTTTTTATATATACTATTGCTACATGTCCTTTTTAAGTATATAACATCAAAATATTTTGTCCTTAACAATGACTTACTCATTCTGTTACATATTTTTCAAAAGGCAAAAGCTGTTAGTGTACATGAAGGCCAAATTTATCTTCTCTTTTTTTAATAAGTCACACTTTTACTGTGTTATCTAAGAATTATTTGACTAATCCAAAGTCACAAAGATAGTCTTTGATGTTTTCTGTAAGTTAAGACTCAAAGGAATTTTACTTCTGTAATTCATGTTGAGGTAATTTTTGTGTAAATTAGAAAGTAAGGATTTAGGGTATTTGTTTTTCATAAGGATGTATAATTGTTCCAGCACTATTTATTGAAGATTCTCCTTTCTCTATTAAATTGTCTTTGCATCTGTGTTGAAAATCAATTGATCACATATATAGCAAATATATATGTATACATATATTTTTTTAATATGTGGTGTTTTATTGGTTTTTCTCCCCAAGCTTCTTAATAAAAAGGCATTAGTAATTCATTAATTTTCAACTCTGAGATTTGGTTTACACATTTAACCAATATTTATGTTTAAAGGTAATATTTGGTGATCTTGAGTTTATTTCAAAAGGTCAACTTTTATATTATTAAAATTCAAAATACAAGCTTCTTGATAGATTGTTGATATGTTAAATTAATTCTTGCTTTAACAATGCTTCAATTATTACTGAGAACTTTGTGTTTTGTATTGCACTTGATGTTCTGTAGAAACTGGATAGAGAACATGCTATAGCCCTATGATCATTTAGCTATTTAGGATACATGATATATAAAGAAAGGAGATAATGGTGACATCAAATTGTACATTTATTAAATTACTGAATTAATCTGTATGTGTATGCTAGGATAGAGAAATAGTATAAGTGATGTTCATTCGCTTAGTCGTCTCCCTGATGAGCATGAATTCTAGGTGTGTACAATGTGAGTAGAAAATTGTTGTTCCCTTACTTGCTCTGTTTATTTCATCCCTCTGTCAACATTAATACCACATTGGAGTGAAAATTATTCTACATTTGTAGCTTGGCATTTTTCAAAAAGCATGACTTCACAATATTGGCAAATAAAATAAAATGTGATTAGAAGCAATGATGAGAAATGAAGAAATTTTCAAGGGTAATTTTGACCTTAAAATTTACTCTCCCATATAAGATGAAACTTTTCTGAACCACACATTAAATAAGTAAATAGTGAATACAAACAAACATATATACATATGCAAAATATTTACTTTTTGTTGAGAGGGAAATATGAGAACATTATAAGCAGGAGAAACAACAGAGTAGGGGATAGAATGAAAACTAACCTGCTCTACATGACAGACTATAAAAGAAGTGTGGTGAATTTGAAAGGGTGAAATATGAGGTTAGACAATTATTAAGGAGCCAGATATATAGATTTTTACACAAAACCTATGAGTTTGATTTGGCTCCAACTGGTAGTAGAGACTAAGCAAAGTCTTTACTCACCCAATTTTTATATATGGTATGTCTGGGGGATTTTATCCTGGGTTAAGAAGCTGCTACCTTTGATACAGGCTAAGAAAGAATATTTCCTGTGTGTACACATAGACTTGTGTGTGTCCACATTGTTAAAATTGAAATAGCTGTACAATTAAATAAATCTGTCACAGTATACCCTTTGCCTGAGTACAAAACGGATAAGAAAATATTTTCTTGGTTACTTCTGATGACAAATGTATCCATGAAAGTTAGTGGAATGACTTCTAACCAAGACTCAGGATCATCTACATCTAGGTCAGTAAATAGTTATCAATTATATATGAATACAAGCCCTGTCATGAAAACAGTGTCCTATTTTTTTATTTTTCAGACTTTGAGGTACTGCTTATCTTTCAGATTAATTATAAAGAGTACCAGTAGTTTTGTTCTTCATAGGAATTCTACTTCGAAGCATATACTTTACCATTACATTTGTTGTAGGCATTTATTTCAGGTTAAAAAATATCTTGATATTTCAAGTTAGCATTTGTAGCTGTTTCCCCATTTGAATCAGGATTTTACCTTTCCTATGCAACCAAAACAAACCAAAAAGACAATATAAAGCAACTGTGATTTGTTTGCAAGTATTTTTATCTAAACTGCTTCAGTTTTCTCATTGACTGAAATATAATAAATAATGTTATCTTACAAATAAGTTTACACTCACTAATCACCATGATTATAATTTTATTTACTGAGATTTCATGTAAGATTTCTTTTGGGGAAAAAAATTGTTCATTTGCTAACATTTAAACATGCCATTCCGAATTACTGATTGAGGGGGAACCTGAAAAGGAGTTGTAGCATTGACAGAGAATTAGGAATGGGTAAGTCTAGTTTTAGATATTTAGAGTTTGATGCAGTGACATTAACTGACACTGTAAAACAGATTTATAAATTCCCAAGTAAGTAATATATATTTAAAAGGTGTTCCAAAGAAGAAGGAAAGAGAATAACAAAGAACCAAATATAATTGCTAAAGGCATCTCATAATGAGAGAAAAACAGGAAATTGCATAATATGTATTAAAAACTTTACTTCATAAAACTCATTTTGAAATACAGTTTTATTAATATATTTGAATTCATACTTTAAAGTAAATATGATTGTTGCAATCATGGCCTGGTTTGAAAACCCTAGTACAATGTGCCATTTCTACTCTTTCCATTGAGAGATGAATTGTATTTGTCTACCTCTCTGAATCTGGTCTTGAGTCTTGCTTTCACCAATGGAACATGTCAGAAATGACAATGGGAAACTTCTAAGCTATAGTCATGAAACCATGCACTCTCTTAGAAATGCAAACATCACATGTGAGGAAGGCCAGACTAATCTAGTCTCCTTGAGAATAAAAAACACATGGAGAGAGGCCCAGACATCTAGGCATTACAGCTGAACCTCCATCCAACCCCTTAGCTGGACTTAGCAGCATGAAGGAGCACAGGTAAAAACAGAAAAGGAAACATCCAATTAAACTGATGATTTGTGAGGCTTAATACATTGTAAATTGTTTTAAGCTACTATGATTTGGAGTACTGTAGTTGTTTTGGAACAATGCATAACTAACATACACAAACACACACAGGCTCCTTTCCTTGTTCAACTATTTTCAATTCACAAGTGTCATATTTATACCTATGTGGCTTGATAAATACGGTGATATTATATAGGATTTCCTTAGTTAAAATTAGCAGAATGATTAATATTTATTTAGTCTTTTGTGTAAAAAAAGCACATTATGACGTTAATCAGTTTAGGGATCAACTCAATTTTCTAGTAGAAAGAAAACAGGATTTGGAGATTTAAAAAAAACAATTTAAAGCAACAACCTGAAGACTTTACTAACGAGGTGACTGAGTGATTTTGGGCAAATTATTTTATCTCTCTAGAACTCTGTTTTCTCATTTAGTTAAAAAGAATTTTAAGAGAGATAATTATCAAGATTTTAAATGCATATACATATATAATATGCATATATGTATATGTATAGTGCATGTTTTAACTAAAATTCTTTTTAACTAAATAAGAAAATAAGGATCTAGGGAGACAAAATGAACAAACATTGAATATACATATACATATATAATAGGCATTTATTTGTATATGCCTTTAAAACCTTAAGAATTATCTATCTTAAATATATACAATATATAATCGATCTTTTTAAAAATACATTAAAAATGTTTGTGGTGTTGTTTTGTCTGTTTCTAAGTTATAATTCAGAAAGTTCATCAGAATTTGCTTCCAGTATTTCACTTCCCTTATTTAACATAATGTATAGCATATTCTAAAGTATGAATAGTTCACTGAAAATACTGCCCCAAATGTTTCACTGAAAAATATTTTAAGATGACTGAAACAACTTTTATAATGTTACTCATTTCCATACTATTTTATATCATCATTTTATTTATATTCATGTCAATAGACTCTGAAAATTTAAAAAGTGAAACTAATGTATCTCTGTGAATCTGAAATCCACAAAATAAAACATGAATACTGAGTCAACAGATGAAGGAAAACTAAAGAAATTTAAAAATATACTATGCATTTCCATTTGTCAAACAATATATTCATTGTAGTAAGAAGACTCTGCCACAGACATCTAGGTGTGGCATCTTATCCATTCATTGCTGGCATGCCAGTCAATCATATTTTGACGTATTTGACAAGTCAAATAAGGTAGAAAAAAGTACTCGTAAAGATACTTACTCAAATCTCAGAAGATCTGCTCATGAAGAAATGACATCAGAAACCTTTAATGTTGACAATTTGAAGACATTACATGTCAATCATAAACTCTGATTTTTCTCCTTGCAGTTATTAATGTGTAATTCCATTTGTATGGCAAAAGTCACTCTGGCATTTACAGATAGTTAAACAGTATATATGGTATATTTTAACTTTCCACGGTAATTTTGAATTTTCACTGAAAAATTAGGGAATAAACTAATTTATAACAGTGACTTGTGGAATTTGTGGAGTTGATATACACAATTATAATCTCATCAAACTACTTATGAACATCCTATAAATAATTTAAAAATTAATTAAACTAGGATCATTAGTTTCTGTTACTACTTGAGGTATTTGAAGACATTTAAAAATTGTAGTTGTCGACTAAGAGCAAAGAATGAAAAATGAAAGTAATCTTTTGAAATTGTCTGTAGAAGATGGCAGATTGTAGGCATTGCTAGCATGCATCTCTCACTTGGAAAGACAAAATAATTCACACTGCAAACTTTTTTCCAAGAAGCAACAAAGGAACTTAACAGAAAAGTTTCATTTAAAACAATAGAGCCTTTGAAAGAACCTACAGCATTCACCAGAGAGAAAACTAAGTCTCCAGAGCATGAGATTAGGGACAGACTGCCACTGTGACATACACTCCCATGGGAGGGTCAGGAAATCCATGTCACAGAGAAAGGCCATAACCCTACCCAGTGCTGGAGCTGATTTAGTGAGCAGTCTAGACTGTATGAGAAGGATGCTTTGTGTGTACTCAGAGACTCCAGTGGGCATGGAGGGAAGTCATTCCTGATCCTACTGCACAGGGGAACTTGTGAAAGTCTGCTAGCTAACTCACGTGGTGGTCATAGATTGAGAGAAGCTCCCAACTTAGATTTGTGATATAACCTGTAGAGGGGATGAACTCCATTGGCCAGAACTGAGCAGGAAATGTGCTATTGTCGTGGATGCAAAAGCTGAAAAGCCCTGCTTCATGGGTGGACTGGGAAAAACATTACCTGAAAGCCACAGTTTCTGTCTCCAGCAAAAAGGTTTGTGGCCTGGGGGCAGTTCTGTGTTCTGAGTGCAGAATGCCTGGGACTCAGCTAGCTGCTCCTAGCAGAACACCGTGTGTGAGAGACCTTCCTTGCCAAGTATGGGGGAGTTGAGTGGGGCTCACTGGCAACTGCTAACCTCTCACACAACATGCAGATTCTTTTGTGTAGCAGAGGCAGCTGTGCTCTTCCCTAGAACACCACTCCAGCAGACAGGAAACTCTTCCCCCATCTTCAATGGAGCTACTGCTTGCACCTGTATATAGGAAGCCAGAGGATGGAACTACCTGACCCAGCCCCCACCTGGCTTTGCCCTACCACCTGTCCTGGTACTGTAACACAAGAGGCCCTGGTAGCGTAACAAGGAATAAGGATCTTTGGGAGCTCCATGGTACCTTCTACTACCTGAGGCACCAGGGGACCTCCCCTGAGTAACATAAGGCAAGCACAGATTCCACCACTACCCATGCAGCTGGTGCTCTTTTGTAAGTGTCACCTTCTGGCTAGAGGCCAGCTGGCACAGCCCATTACAACATCTGCAGGCACAATAACAGCATTCAGGAAATAAAACTTTTGCTCAACCTCAGCCATCATCATTGCTTGCATCAGCTTGGGTAACCAGGAGCTCCTGAGCCTGTTCATGTGCTCAGTACATTACTACTGCAGCTGACATTTCAAAAAGCGAACATATCAAAACTATTTATAACCATAGAAATCTAAGAGTCTATGTCACTCCCCTTCCACTCCCATCAGAGTTGATGTTGGTACTGACTGCTGGAAGACTTGAGAATAGGTCATATCACTCGATTTCTTGCAGACATTTCCTAGAACCAGCATGGAGTATGGCAGCTCCACTGGGCAACTATATCCACGGCAGCAGCAGGACTCACAGTAGTTTTCTCACGGACTTCTATTCAAAGACCAGCTCCCAATATATCAAAGTGGATTCAAGATCTCTCAAAGTGATTGAGTGGTCAGTGAAAAAGAAAAAAAAAAAGACAAAGAAGAGTTTTCTTCAAAGCTGGGCCCACGGGAGACACTACATAAAGCCACTCCATGGATGTCTAAAATTCCCCTGAAACCTCAGTTTTTTGTTAAGCTCTTTCAATAGGGGAGGTGAGTGAGGCTACACAACAGTATGGTAATGATCATACAAAAGGAATACATTTGCAAAACTGGTACACAAAGATCACAATGTCAGCATAGAAACCATAAACCTTAGCAAGAATAGAGGTTAAACATAAACTTAAAATCATCAGCAAGAAAAGCATTAGGCTCACAGCTGCATGGGGAACAGGATCTGACACAAGACAACCAGCCTGACCACAAAACTGCAAGAGGGGGGAGACCCCCATGCAGGACTGGAGGAGCAGTGGGAGAAGAAAGACTTACATCCTTGTCTCTACCACAGAGGTTTTTCCTCATGACAGACGCCCCTCATACATCCGTTTATAGGCTCTCCTTAAGAGTCACATTCTCTTTCCAGGGCCATAATCAATATGCCTTTCCTGGGAAAGGAATCAAGGTAATAAGCCTCTCCATTACACGTCCGTTTATAGGCTCTCTGCAATGAGAAGCTTATTACGTGCTGTTATCTCTCTCCAGCAGTCAGGTTATGTGGTTTGTCTCTTACACAGAGTTCCTGTTTCTATAAGAACAGCTCAGCAGAACCAAAGTTACAAGTTACAGCTCAGCTTTTCATATTATTCTTCATTTTCTCATACATGTTCAACACAGTAAACAACAAGCATCACAAAGCAAATAACTCATTTTAGGGAAACAAAATTCTAAGAGAATTTACAGGTTAAAAATCAACAACAATTTCTTCTTCTTATATCAGATAGCTCGGGTTTTGCCAATTCCTCCAGAAGCTTGGGGTTGCTCAGTCACCACCGTGGGGTCCACAATGTACCAAGCAGACTTCTACTCATTGGGGAAGAGGGAGTGTACCACATTAAGAGAGCACCCCACGGAACCTCGAGTCCCTGAGCTTTCCATTTGTGGGAAGTTTCTTTCAGCAGAGGCACAAGTGCAATGCTGGGTCCAGTAGGGAAAGTCTACAGCTCTATCCCAACAGTCAGACAGCCCTGAGGCTCACAAAGAGAATTGGAGAAGGAGACTTCTTTCCCTCACTCACCATTGCAAACACAGTTAGGGGTTCTCCCATGGTAACCCACCAAGGGTACATCTGTAGACAGCCTTTCATACTGTATTCTCGCAGGAGTCCCCCCAGGTTGATGCTTAGACAAGAGGTAGAGTGACAATCCCTGTCTACACAGAACATCAGCATTCCTGGAGTGAAAAGAGGTGTCTGTCTGATCTGAATAGCTGGAACACTGCATCAGGAGTGTGCCTTGGAGGTGAAACACTTTGCTGCTGGTCTAATGGAAAGCTGTGGTGACTCCCTCCCTTTCTCCTGAAAAGATCTCAGAGCATTTCGCTGAGAACTCCCCAGCCACGTCTTTTAAGGCTGGGACCTCTTGCCCATCATTGGAGCATTGCATTTACGTACCTGTTTAGCCACAGTCAGTTTTTATGCATGTGCACCTCCTACTGATTCGATGCCTGAACTCTTCAAAGCAGTGAATAAGATAGTAGGGGGAAAAATATTTTTAGGTGTACACCACTAGGGAATAAGTTAAGCTTCATAAAACCTCAGCTATTCCAACTCACAAGAGACAGTGAACGAACTCCGGCACTTAGTACACCATTATTAAAACCAGTGTCTGAGAAGGCTAAAGTTTCTCTACAACCAAGGAACTCATACAGAGTCTTTGCTACTGAAGACACCCAGAGCCAAAACTAGGTGAAAATAAACAATAATCAATAATGTGCCATCCTCCAGGGGAAAAAAATAGGAAATTTAAAAAAAAAAAACAGTAAAGGTAGTATCGAGAGGAGGATCCAAGATGGCGGATTAGACACAACTCCAGTGCACAACACCCAGTGAGAGAGAAGCAGAAACCCAGAAATCTCCTAGCTCCAACTGAGGTACCAGGAGCATTTCAATGGGTCTGGTCCGAGGGTGAGCAAAGCCCACTCAAGGCAGACCAAGGTGGGGAGGAGTGCTGCTTCACCCAGAAAGTGCATCTGACCGGTGAGTCAGAGGCACCACCTCTGGTGCTGCAGTCCAGATACAATGCTTCCCCGAAAGCCTCAGCAATACACAGAACAGGGGATTTTTGCCAGTCAAGCACAGGGAATTACAAGTGTGAAGTTGAATAAGAGTCAGCAGGCTGAGCTATCGCCCCCTCCCCCTGCCCGGAGAGAGAGGGAGCTGTAAGCCTGAGCAGCTGGGTGGTCCCTACACCATGACTGGAGAGAGAGGAAGCTGAAAGGGGGAGAAGGCCAGGTGCAGCTGGGCAGGTCCCTACCCACCCCTACAAACCCTAGAGGGCTGAAGCTCTGACTCTAGTGGGTTGCGTAGCCAGTGCCACAGTCTGAGATGAAACCTGAATGATCTGGCCCAGTGGAGGAAAGGCACAACCCACCACTAGAGGGGTGGGACTGGGCTACATGTTTTAACAAAAAACACATGAAGCATACGTAGCAACGGGACTGAACAGCGTTCTTGACAACACAGCAGGGCCTACAGGTCAGCAGAACAGGTGGGCCTAATCTCCCAGCATAAACAAAAAAGACACAGGAAGCTTCCCTAGTAACCTGAAGGGGTCCCTAGAAACCCAGTAGCATCCCCACAGTCAGACAAGCAACCTCATCAAGCAGCTCTCTGACACCACAGCCAGGTAAATCCACAAAGATGGGAAAAAAACAGCACAAAAAAAGGTGAAACCATCAAAGACCAGAACATTGCTTCTCCTTCAAAGGATCACAACTCCTCAACAACATAGGATCACAACCTGACTGAGAAGGAGTGTGAAGAATTGACAGAAACAGGATTCAGAAGGTGGATAATAACAGGGAACTTTTCAGAACTAAAGGAACACATTCTAACTCAATGCAAAGAAATCAAA